TTTTATTTTTAAAATGATGTAAGTAACAGAAGGCAGCTAGAGCTATTTTAAAAAATCTTGTTCCTCCTGTCCCAACTTCTGCTATAATGGGGGGAGAAGATTGAGTAGGAAATGATTTTAACCTAAGTAACTTGGGCTGAGTTTGATAAATTTGAGTGCAGTAAGGCTCTTTTTCCCTTGGAATAACTGCTAACTGCAGTGTGTGTGTGTGTGTGTGTGTGTGTGTCTCTGTGTGTCTGTGTGTCTGTGTTTCTGTGTGTGTGTGTGTTTCCCTGTCCCCGGGTTGAACTCAGGGCCTAGGCACTGTCCCTGAGCTTTGTGTTCTGGCATTCTACCACTTGAGCCACTGCTCAACTTCCAGCATTTTGGTGGTTAATTCGAGCTAAGAGTCTCACTGACTTTCCTGCCCAGGCTGGCTTTGAACTGTGATCCTCAGATCTCAGCCTCCTGAGTAGCTAGTTTTACGTACATGAGCCACTGGCACCCAGCTCTGTAGTCTGTTTTTTAAGGAAAGATTTCATGGAGTAATCAGCTGCTGAATTGACTCAAGTAATATTTATGGAAGGAATGTAGCAAGCTCAGTCTAGGGGAGAGGATGAACAAGTACAGCATGAACACGTCAGGAGCTAATTAGTAGTTTGTCAACAGATGGCGGCTCTGGAATAGTTGGCGAGGCTTAGAGAAGTCTGTTACTTTGTGTTCAGCAGTTTGTCTAATGATGGGTGTGATACACAAGCAAAATGCTCGTTTTGTTTTTGTATTTGCAAAATATATTTAGCTATCCTTTCTTTAGACTATAGTCTAAATGTACTAGAAAGGTAATCCAAAGATTCTGTTATTTTAACAGCAAGAGGAATTGGGATACTAAAGAAAATGTAACTTTGCTGCTTTTGTCACTGAGTACAGAAGCTCTTAAGGGAGGTATTGAGGCACTGTGCTTAGTCCTCGTGGTTACGTGAGCTGCAGTGATGTCACCTGGTGTATCTGAAAGGAACAGGTGTGACCTGTCTGGCAAGCTTCCTAATGAACTCTAATAATTTGACAGTTATTTGGGTCTTGGCCTCTTCTCTTGTTACTGGTGTATCTGCTTTAATTTTATCTAAAGACACTTTTCTTGCTCTCTTGGTTCTGGTGACTAGAAATTAATGATTTCCTGATATGCAGGAAGGTTAAAAGTTGGCAGACTAGTTGCAGGTTACATAAACACACACTATTTGAAAACCATCACTTCCATCTTACCTTTAGCCTGTTTGGCTGGTGCTCTACCACTTTAAGCCACACCTCCAGTCTGACTTTTTTCAGCTTAACTTGAAGATGGAGTCTAGTACTTTTCTACTGGAGGTGGCTTTGAACTGTGATCTCTTAAATCTCAGCTGAAAGTAGGATTACAGTTTTGAGCCAATGGCAACAGCTATTTTGTGATTTTCTTTTTTTAACTTTTGAGAATGCAGGGTACTGGGAAAAAGAAAGTTTGGTTGTAGGAGAACAAATTGATGATTATCCAGGTTCCTGGTAATATAATCTCCCCATAAGCCCTCAAGCATTAAGAAATATTTTGTATCAGTTAATTTCTGGTGGATATGGTTATCTTTGTAATTTATAAAGTAGGTTGAACATGGATTAGATGCTGGGAGTACAGAAGAGGAGGAGGAGAAAGAGGAAGAGGAAGAATGAGATATGGTGAATGGTTATGGGGTTCAGACTGAGTTTAATCACCTTCCTAGGAGAAAGGGCTATCCTGACTGACAAAGCCTGGGCCTTGAACTGATGGCCTGAGCCTGTCTGTGATCAAGGGTAACATTCTATTATGTGAACAACAGTGCTACTTCTGGCTTTTTTGAATAGTTTTTTGGAGATGAGTCTATTTTCCTACCCAGGCTGGCTTCTAACTACAATCCTCAAATCTGAGCCTCCTGTAGCTAAGATTACAGGCGTGAGCCACCAGCGCTGAGCTAAACCAATGCTTTAGTTTGCCATTTTAATAGAAATTCACAGTAATGTAGTCAAGGCTGATGTAATTGATTGTTTAAGGTTGCTTATTGTTTAATGGATCATTCCCCAGAATTAATGCAGCATCCTTTTGAAGGACATTTTTATCCCTGTAAACTTCCTCTCAAATATTTTCCTAAGATTTGATGAAAAGCTGAGTTATTTCATCTTTATTATAGGTATAATAATGAAGAGATTGTAGTCTATGATTAATTGAAATTTAAGATTCATTAAAGTCTAAGGATAGGGCTCTTAGCTAGGACCAAAATCTTAACCATTTCAGTTAAGGTCACTGTGATGAAAAAATTTGGACTATTCCTTGAGTTTTAATTAAACTATGAATACATGTATTTAGTTCACTTGTAAATTATAAATATGGTAAGATACCTATCAGAGTTTATCTCCTAGAGACTCCCAGTGGTTAGATTGGCTTGAATTTATATGTTCTGCGTTTTTCTGTTTTTGTTTTTGTTGTTGGTCGTGGGCCTTGAACTCGGCCTGAGTGCTGTCCCTCAGCTCTTCAGCTTAAGGCTAGCGCTCTACCACTTGAGCCACAGCACCACTTCCGGTTTTCTGGTGGTTTATTGGAGATAAAAGTTTCATGGACTTTCCTGCCCTCCTGCACGGACTGGCTTTAAACCGCAATCCTCAGATCTCAGCCTCCTGAGTAGCTAGGATTACAGGTGTGAGCCACTGGCACCCAGCTTGTTAACTTTATTTTTTATTGTGAAAACACTGTACAGAGGGGTTACAATTACATGAGCAAGATAATGAGTACATTTCTTATCAAGCATTGTAGCCTCCTCCTTTGTTTCCCCTTCCCATCCCTTCCCATCCTTCCCCCGCTCCCCCCACTCCTCCCCCCCACACACACCAAAGTTGTAAACTTTGTTTTCGACATAATGACTTGTGCATCTCATTGTTGCAATGGGTCCACCTTATCCCTGTTTAAAGTATTTGTTTTCCCCTTCCCCTCCACAAATTATACCAACATCAAATACAGTGAAAGCAGGGGTTATACTGTGGGGGAGGGACATACAAAGCAACAAAGGAAATTTTCTTTTTAACAGAAGTAAAAATCCATATTACCACGACTGTTTGATTAGTTACTATGGATAATACTTAAAAACCAAGATTGGTTAGCCCTTTTAAATCCACGTCAAAGTCATAGGCAGACTTCTTAGCTGGTTCTGTATTGAATAAGAATGTGTTTATGTATTCAGAATAAAAAATTGAATTCATTGTTTTTACTTGATTAAATTATATTATCCTAGATTGAAAGCTGTGAAAAACTATTTAGTTTAGAGTTTATGATTTTATATTATAAGGTGAAGGATTTAATGCGACTAAATGGCTTGACTTTGAAAATATTTATGTGGTCATGGTTATGTTGGCTCAGTGGGTTTTTACAATCTCTAACAATCTCTGGTTCTTTGTTCTTCAGCATAGTTTATTGAAATTAACTACAAAATACACAGAACTCTGTTGTAATTATATGACTTAAAATAGAGATTTGTTTTGACCAATTCTCTGTAGCCAGATGTAAGGCTAAAAAGTTGTATTTTTCTTTAAAAAAAAATATAAAGGCTGAAATAATCAGGTTTTTTGTGTTTTTTGTTTTTTTGTCGGTCATGGGCCTTGAACTCTGGGCCTGAGCGCTGTCCCTCAGCTCTTCAGCTCAAGGCTAGTGCTCTACCACTTGAGCTACAGTGCCACTTCTGGTTTTCTGGTGGTTTATTGGAGATAAAGAGTTTCACGGACTTTCCTGCGCTGGTGGGCTTTGAACTATGATCCTCAGATCTCAGCCTCTTGAGTAACTAGGATTACAGGCGTGAGCCTCTGGCGCCTGGTTTAATCAGGTTTAATTATATAATTTCTGGATGACACAGGAAACTAAAAGGTTCTCTCTTTTAGGAATATGTCTGACTTACAAAAAGAAAAAGTTCTTGGATTAAAAATGTTTTTTTCTAGAGCCACCATTAATGTGTATTTAAGTAGTATTTACTTCCCCACCCACCATATGCCACTTACATACTTTTTGATGAGCCTTTTCGCTTCTGAATCCACCATCCACTGTATACTTCTTTAGAATAAAACAGAGTGTATGTACAGTGTGTGTAAGAGACATTCCAGTGCTTTGCTTGGGTGCTTTCCCCACCTCCACTAACATGCCCACTTTCTCATTGCAATGGCTAATTCTGTGTAAGAACAACAAATATCTGCAGTATTAACTTCAGTTTTCCTTTTTAGTAGTACCATAAAAATGTTACGTGCTGTCATTTTTAGGTATAAAGATGATACTCAGATGTCTGTGGACTATAATAATAAGATATTCATCTGGTTCAACACTGTCAGTGCACAATTTAAAGAGGAGTATCAAACCAAAACACTTAATCTGTTTGGAAAGACAAGATACATGCTCATGGAAAACACACAAACATATGGATGGAAAAAATGAAGTTAACTGAGTATTTCATAGGAAGTTATTACATTATTCAGGAGCAGATGCTGTAATTGGAAAATAAACCTTAAATATGGGCTTATGAGTTTTTATGTAATAAAGTCAAGGCCACTTATACTAGTTATGGCTTGTGAACTATTACTCCTGACATCTGAAGAAATGCTTGGCAAGTTTGCTCATGACTCATTGCCTATCCTGAAGGTTTCAATACAGTGATACTGCTGTATTGATATCAGTGATACTGTGTCGCCATCTGCCATCAGACCTTTTGTACACTCCATAACGTTCTTGTGACAGTTGTCCTCCACCCCCCCCCCCATCCTGATAATTATTAAAAGGTGAAGGGAAGTAGCCACATGCACTGTGAAGCTCTAAGCCTTATGAAATTAATAATAGTCTAGGGCGGGGGTGTGGCTCAGTCAGAGAATGCATGTTGAAGTATGCCCAAGGAAGGCCTGCTTGTGATCTCTAGCACCATGAGGGGCAAAAGAAAGGAGTAGCCTCAGCTTCTAAGAGGAAAGTATTGATATTTTTCTTCTTTCTCTTTTAGATTGTCCTTCTACTCAGGCCACTCTTCGTTCTCCATGTACTGCATGCTGTTCGTAGCAGTAAGTATTCTGTGCCTACTGATAGTTGGAATATGCACTGTGTGGGTGGCAGCTCTGCATAGGTGTCTTCGATGCTGCACAGGGCAGGCAAAAGTGAACATATCAGCAAGTCTCTTAAGAGTTTCCTGCTAATAATGTGCATCCTTAAATTTGGGGCACTTCTGGAGCCTACACCTCTAACAGCCACCCCTGAGAGCCACTCCTAACCTCTCAATGTGGGTTCACAGTCCTGCCTCATACTTTGCTTCTGCTGTCTGCTCTGTTGAGTTGAGCTTGATTATCAACAGCAAAGCAGCTATTGTGACTTCTGTTTAAGCAGTTTTTGTTTTCCTTTCACTTGCTGAACTTTCCCCACACAGCTTTCCATGGGACCAGTTTTTCCACTTCTGGGAGTTGTCTGTGGCACTCCCTGGTCCATTTCTAATCATTGGCCTATGGAGCAGCATGGTCATTTGCATGTATGTTACTCTTAAGTTACCCTAGAGGCATTAGAAAAGATCTGTACCTGTATTTTGCTTATAAAACTAAATGAATGTGTCATTTTTGGTTTTGTGTATGTCTGTCTGTCTGGGTTTGAATTTAGGGCTTTATACTTGCTAGGCAGACTCTCTACCACTTGAGTCATAGCCATCATAGCCACCTTAACCCTGGGTGTATTTTTTCCAGTAATTAATAGAAGACCAAGCTTGAAAACACATTCAAGGAATCTTTGACGATCAGTTTCAATTATGTTTTCTGTTTACATAGTACTTACAAAATTATATGTATACTCTGTATTATGTATTACCAACATTTAGAGGAAAAGGAGAGCTTTCTATCCTAACTGATCAGCGATACATCAACTTCATAGATTCTCATGTAATTGTCTTCCATGTATATCTGCAGATTTTTACATTTTCTTTAATCATGTTAAATAATGTATGAGTATTTCAGGGTTAAGTTAAAAATTCTATCATGTAATATTAAGGGTAAATTAATGGGAGTTAATTTGGCCTAAGAATTTAAAATCACCTGTACCAGAATCTTATTTGAAAAACCAAATTTCCTATGTTAAAACTATTGTGAAAGTCAGATATTGGTGGCTCACACCTATAATCTTAGCTACTTAGGGGTTGAGATCTGAGGACCATGGTTTGAAGACAGAAACATCCATGAGACTCTTAACTCCAATTAATCAAAACTGGAAGTGGAGGTGTAGCTCAATTGGTGCCTGGGGCAAAAAAGCCAAGCAGGAGTTCGAGCCCCCATACATGGAAAAAAAAAAAAAAGTAAAAATTGCAGGTGCCATGTAACATGTAAAATTCATATCTACAATGAAATACCCTCTGTATAACTTGTAAGCTGAACTTTAAAAAAAAAATCCAGACACAAAATATCAAGCCATTACAGACTCATTTTTGGCTTCTCCAACAGTCTGGAAATTTTAAGTCTTTCATAGCAACAGAACACAAACTCAGCAGAATTAAGGGCTTCCTTTTTAACACCTAAATGATTGTATAGATGTTCCATGAGAAGTGTAACTTACTTCAAGGTAGTTAACAGCATATGCCATTGTCACATTTTACCAGGAAAATTTGCTTTCCTCTCAAAGGGAGCCAACATATATTTTGCTCTTTTAAAAATAGGACACTTGAACAAGTGTTAGGTGAGGTAACAGGGAGAGCACTCCTCAAAGCACCAATTAGTAACTATACTGAACTATTTTTGAGGTGTTGAACCTGACTCACAGGATCTGTGGTTTGCTGTCCTCTCACCTGAGATAGCATCATCTTAGCCCTTTTTCAGAGACTTGGCAAATCTTTGATACTTGACTTGCACTTTACATTCTTGAAAATGCTTTCTCATAATCTCTATGAAAAAAGTAGATGGAAAGGAGAGGCCTCTGAGAGGAGACGCTAATGTCTCTGATCTTTCAAGGTATCTCTTGACAATCAGTAACACTTGCTGTATTGATAAAAGTCCTCTAAGAAGTCTCACTGATGAGATATTGGTGTGCTGAGGGGATATTCAGGAACCTGTGAGACGGCAACTGAAAGACACACACATACACAAAGGGAAAATTACTTCAACCATGACGTGGTAAATGGGTTAATGTGAGCCATTTAGAAGTAAATTATGAGGAAACAGTCCAGATGCCTAAGTTTGTTGTAGCCTTCCTGGAGAAGCCTAGCGACGCACTGCCTTTTCCTGACTCTTAGACAGTGGAAATATTTACTTGATTGGGATCAGTCCCAGATTTGATTTCAGTTCTGAATTCATAGATGTCTCCTTGCTTTGCAGCTCTCCTATTTATATGCAACATTTAGCTTCCTTTTTCCCAAATTCCTTAGGCAGTGATTCATCTTGATGCCCTGGGCATCTTGGCATCATGCATCAGTCCCAGGTTTGGGTGGAGATGTGCAGTCATTTAAGAATTTCTAACACCTAGAAATTAACTTCCAGTTAAAAATGTCTTACAGCCATCCCATTGATTATTGTTCTGTCCTGATTGGTAGCCCAGCGTTACACTAGCAAGAGGTGCCTTGACTGGTGGAAGCTCAAGGAAGAAGCTGCTCCGCATACATACAGCCAGTTTAAGTGTTTAATACTACCCTTGAATTTGGCTGAGCGTTAAGACTTCCAAATTTGGGTGGTTATTCAGAACAGTCATAGTACTAGACATGAGAAATGCACGAAAAGATTTTTTTCCTATTATTGTGAAAGTTGAACCACCAGATTGCTAATATCACTGCCTGTTACAAAGTCCCTCACTGTTTCAAGCTTTCTTCTCTGCCACAAACTGCTTCTTAGTTGCTACTTGCCTATTGAAGCCTTCTTTAATTTTTCACACCACCCTTTTCTTACAATTTTACACCACTCATTTCAATCCATCACTTAGCACTGTTGACATTTCATGACTCTGTTTCTGGGACTGGGAAGAACATCTGAGCCTTGGGCAAATGAGAAAGAGTTCCTGGCCCATAGAAAAACACGAGTCGGGGCTAGGAAGGTAGCTCAGTGGTAGAATGCATGCCTTGCAAGCATGAGGCCCTGGGTTCAATTCCTCAGCACCACATAAACAGAAAAAGCTGGAAGTGGTGTTGTGGCTCCAGTGGTAGAGCGCTAGCCTTGAGCTGAAGAGCTGAGGGACAGCGCCCAGACCCAGAGTTCAGGCCCCATGACCGGCAAAAAACAAAACAAACAAAAAAGAAAAACACGAGTCAAGCTTTAGATGGTGAATTAGAAGCCCAAACTGGAAGACTAAACTGAGACCCACATTATAGTTGGGACAGCCTATTTGTTTGCTGGATGTGGTATTAGAAGCAGATCGAGGTTCAAAGCTAGCTGGGGCAGGAAAGGCTGTAAGTCTCTTCTCTCCAGTTAACCACCTAAAAACTGGAAGTGGAGCTGGGACTCAACATGGTAGTATACTAGCCTTGAGCAAAAAAAGTTCAGGGATAATGCCTAGGCCCTAAATTCAAGTCCTATAACCAATGTAAAGCTGCATAACTTTAGTAGAAATAAAACAAAAACAAGATTTTGATTAAACACACAAAGGAAAGCTCTAAATTGACCTTCTGTATCTTTGACTTTAAAGTAGCATTCCCTGAGAACCTCCCTAAAGGAAAGCTATTTATAATGAAGCCGCACATGGAATGGAACTAATGCCTCACCAGCACCTGGACCTACTCTATGTCTAGTGGGCCACTTGGGTTTTCACAGCCACAGCCCCCCACCTTATGGCTTGCTCTCTTTGCCTGTTTCCTTCTTCATAACTTTAGATTGCAAACAGCCTATCAAGTACCCAATAGGTACGTTTTAACAACTTCTGAAAATAGACAACTCTGAACTTCCAGTGGGAATTTCTGAGGGAGAATAAAGTCCAGCACATCTTGGAGGAGCCTGGTTTAAACTATCTTGTGTGTTCTTTTGTGAGAGAAGGCAGGGCAACATTTTCCAAATAAGACTCACCCCTTCATCAGTAGTTTTCTTTAGAAGGGGAATTTGAAAGTATCAGCTAATGCTGCTGAGCCTGTCTAGTACCACATATTCTTCTGTTAAAAGATGAAAGAATTAAATGCCTTACCCAGAATGGGCTAATGCCCCTATCAACAGACGACACAAATGGGGAAAGGAGTAAGTTTTGAGTTTGCAAAGGCAGGGACAATAATGAGCCTTTTACTATAAGCTCTGTCCTTATTTCTAGTTTTAGCTTCAGACATTGTTTCTCTGTAGCAGTTAGGGAATGATGGAGAGATTCTTTGAAGTCATATGAAGTACTTGCTTTGTCCAAAATCATGGGTAATGTGCAGCGACACTCCTGTAACCAGAAGCTGTTTCCTGGCATCCAGCTCACACCTAGGTCTTGATACATTGTTAGTTAGCTTTGTTCTGACCAAGTGCTCTGATGTGATGTGTTCAAGAACTTCAGGATAAAAATAGGCTGGCTATGGGCTTTTAAAGAAATATCTTAAAAATAGAATTTTAAAAAGTGGTAGACTTTTTAGCCAAGTGCTCAACTAAGCATCTCCAGGCAGTGAGATCTTAAAATGTTTGTACTGTAGAACCTGAAAAAGACTTAGGAAGTGAAGCCTACTCACACAGGATTAATAGCCTGGGACAAAAGTCACAGTGGAATTCTAGGCATGTCACCTATGAATCAAGGTCTAAAAAACTCCTGGTGGTGTTTACTTTCTTGGGGTCAACTGAAATAGAGAAGTCTTCATAGGCAAGAGTAAAGCTCTATGAGATGCCTGTCTTTCACAGGGAAACACTCAGTACTCATGCCCCACGAAAACACAGTACTCCCAATTAGCAAGTTTTCTCAAAACATGGCTATTGGCACCCAGAGGAACCAGTGTATAGAACATAGATTGGGTGCAGAACTAAAAGCAGATCCCTGAAGTCCTTCAACGTAGAATAATTTCTGCATCTATAATGAGTTTCATTGATGGGAAACGTGTCTACATAGATGGATGTATAAGAAGAAACTTATAGGGGCGAAGATTTTCCTAAAGTATGCTGCAGCTTATTTGATTACTGATCCAGAGTGAATAAATTCCCTTCTTTAGGCTGTTGGGGAAGAAATCTGAGCAAAATAATACTTAATAGTCACAATTAACAAAAACAATGTGATACCTACAATAGAAGTCAAGACTCTTTGGAAGGAAAATACTGCTGAGGGAATTTTAGGATCTTACATGAGAGAAGACTTAAGAGTCCTGAATTTCCCTTAGGTTGGAGGTACAAAATGGAAGCAGTTTAATTAAGTCCCATTTTAGAGGGTTTTTTTTCTTGCTTTGTCCTAGTGGTAGGGCTTAAGATATCTCTGTGCAGAAGCCTGTGATTCCTAGGTAATTTTTAGTCAGAGTAGCCTGTTGGTGATAACTGAACTTTCTGACAGCAATATCCAAAGCTTGGTTTCACCATAGTCTTTTCTACTTGAGTTTCTTTCTAGTTAAGGGAGATATAATGAGCAAATCTTACAAGTCCCCTTTTTTTGCTACTACTGTCATAGTTGGAGTAACAACAAAAAATAAGGTTTGGGGTAAGGGAATCCACAGAGTTCCAGTAGCACTTAATCTAGCAAATGAGTCAGACCAGTTAAACAGCTGGTATGCTCTTTTAGAGCTAGATGTTTATACTGTGTACTTGATAAAATTAGACAACCTCTGGGTATTTGCCAGCTGCTAAGAACAGAACACCCTACAGCAGTGCCCAACTGGGAACGGATTTGCACATCTATTTTAAACAGGTAGTGCCAATGGGCAGAGCCTTGGAAATTCTGAAGACTACACTTAATTTAAGTCTGAGTCATAAATTATTGCACAAAATTTTTTAATGGATGCTAATATTATACTTTTACTGACAGGTCTTACTATGTAGTTTTAGCTTCCCTATTTGTGATCCTCTGCCTCATTCTCCAGAGTGCTGGAATTATAGTTGTGCACTACCTACCCAATAAACTTAATTTCTATTATTATTATTTTTTGGAGGGTCCGGTCGTGGGGCCTGAACTCTGGGCCTGGGTGCTGTCCCTCAGCTCTTCAGTTCAAGGCTAGCGCTCTACCACTTGAGCCACAGCGCCACTTCTGGCTTTTTTCTTTTGCTTATGTGGTGCTGAGGAATCGAACCCAGGGCCTCATGCATGCAAGGCAAGCGCTCTACCACTGAGCCACCTTCCCAGCCCCCAATAAACTTAATTTCTAATAAGAATACTACAATTTTATATTCTTAGAACTAATAGAAAGTTATATCCTTAGTGAGTAGAAATTAGGCTTTAAAAAGTGAGAAGATTCACTCAAGAATTTATTTTGCATCAAAAATTTTAAATAGGGTGGTAGAATAGCTCCAGTGGTAGTGACTGCTTAGCAAGGCCCTGACTCGAGTACCACAAAAACAACAAACAAAATCTTGAGATACTAATGCATCCAAAGTCAGAAGGTAGGTATCAGAAAAAGGAAATATTCAGGTCTGATAGTACCAAAAAAGGGTGCTACAATGTGTGTTATTATGTGAGCCAATTTTATTTATTTACACCGATAATGTGTTTAGTCTTAGTGGCTCCATTAAATAGTTTGAGGCTAGCAGAGCTTTCAAGTAAACTGGCGAGTTAAGCAAACAGTCCTTAGAAGGGCTGGGGCAAGCTGTGCTGAGCATGCTAGCAGTTTATCTCAAAACTAGGAACTAATTACAACATTGTGTTTAACAACCCAAACAGCAAAGGGAGGAGCTGACTTGAAATACTGTCTAAAAAGTCATAAACAAAGAAACCACTGGCTTTATAATTTGAAGGGTAAAATAGCCAGATAGGTAGTAAATTCGCCTAAACACAACTTATGGTTGCAATAGTATATATTCTTTTATGCTTAAAGGTATTAACTTTTAAGGCATTAAGTATAAGAATACTTAAAGTTCTATTCCATATATAGTAGATAGTCTGATAGTCAATTTGAATGCCAACCCTTTAGAAGCATGGTGATACTTACTGGAATATATTCCATTTTCAGTTGGCATAGTAAATGAACTATTTTCTTTATTCTTATCTTTTCTGTTAGCTTTACCTTCAAGCCAGGATGAAGGGAGATTGGGCAAGACTCTTACGTCCCACACTACAATTTGGTCTTGTTGCTGTATCCATTTATGTGGGCCTTTCTCGAGTTTCTGATTACAAACACCATTGGAGCGATGTGTTGACTGGACTCATTCAAGGAGCTGTGGTTGCAATATTAGTTGTAAGTATACAGGGCAGCAGCCAACATCTTGATACCATCAAGATTTAGATAATAAGTAGAAGAAAAAAAAACCCCAATGAGAAATCTGACAAGGCAGGGAATGTGGCTAAGAATCATGTGTTTAAAATAAATCTTAAGGACATACAGTGGATAAAAATTAGGTTACTATTTACAAACTCAAAAGTTGAGACCTGTGGCTATAACCAATTTTCTTTCTGGTATGAAAACTTATGTACATAACACTTTTATTAAGTGTTAGTATACAGCAACTATTTACCAAAAGCATAACAAAGCAACTCTAAATGCATTAACCTTTAAAAAAATCCTATTAGCTACTAATTTTTTGTAGTCTAAATTTTTACATCCAATGCATATCCTTTTGCTTATCTTTGCCAACAGATTCTTGCACCTTTTTATGTGGTTTTTAAACTTAGGTAAATTGCACTAGTGAATATAAGTAACTTCCATATGTAACTTGTTCCATATAGGCTGTATATGTATCGGATTTCTTCAAGGCAAGAAATTCTCCCTTTAAAGAAAGAAAAGAGGAGGACTCTCATACAACTCTGCATGAAACACCAACAACAGGAAATCACTATCGGAACAATCACCAGCCCTAAAGGGTAGCAAGATGGCAGATGAAACTGGCCTGTTTTCTAAAGGAAAATGACTGCAACTAGAAGGCAAGAGGATGTGTCTTTCTTCCTGGTGTACAGGCCTTTACAGGACTGCTGCTGCTATGCCTCCTGAACGCCCACTTTATGTATATAATCACATTTAACACAATGGTTATCTAATAGCTCTAAGATCATCAAAAAAAATTTCAAGCCTTCCACTAGAGCAATGCCCCACCTATACATTTTTATTAAAAAATGTAATGCTTATGTACATATGTGTATGTAATATGCTTTCCCATAATGTTTGATTTAAATACATATTAAAATGTGTAAGGACAACTGTCTTGAGATGAGAGAACACAACACTTGTAAGCATTTGCAGTCAACTATAATCAAACCAGAGGTGAGTATTTGTAAATCCCATATTCCTTAAGTTGACTCTTTTATAAGTAGAGGCTGGCAGCAAACACGATATCTCGCTTGATTTTGGTGATTCCTAGGAGAAAAGAAAATACTGTTTAGGCTTTCAAAGACAGCATGACAATCCTAATTAAATTATAGTACCTCATAAATCAAAATCACACAGGTTGGTCTAAGATACCTAAAGGAATTCACAGCCTCCTAAAAGATGGAAAACTTAAGACAGACAGACCTCTACTCTTTGACTGTGAAGTACACTGAATATGTAGGGGTAGTGTTTAAAACTGCTAAAAAAAAAAAAAATCATCTGGAGAGTAATATAGTTTTAGTTATTATGTGAGATTCTTTTTGTTGTAAGGACAGATATAAATGTTTTAGTTTTAAAACTTTCATACTTGTCAGGTGCCCATGGCTCACACCTGTAATCCTAGCTACTCAGGAGGCTGAGATCTGAGGATCTCGGTTCAAAGCCAGCCTGGGTAGGAAAGTCCATGAAACTCTTAATCTCCAATAAACCACCAGAAAAATGAAAGTGGCACTATAGTTCAAGTGGAAGAGCGCTAGCCTTGAGCTGAAGAGCTGAAGGACAGCGCTCAGGCCCAGAGTTCAAGGCCCATGACCGACAAAAAAAAAAAAAATCATACTTAAATTGAAAAATACACCAGTCTCTCTCTCTCTCTTTTGGCCAATCCTGGGGCTTGAACTCTGGGCCTAAGCTCTCACTGAGCTACTGCTCAGGGCTAGTGTTCTACCACTTGAGCCACAGTGCCACTTCCAGCTTTTTCAGAGTAGTTTATTAGAAACTAGAGTCTCAGGCAACTTTTCTGCCCAGCTGGCTTCAAATGGTGATCCTCAGATCTCAGCCTCCTCAGTAGCTAAGGTTACAGGTGTGAACCACCAGGCCAGGCAATAAGCCAGTTTTTGCAAATCTCTTCTTATAACACCTATGCAGAAATAATGAGCATTGACAGCCTGCCATTCTTTGATTTCTTTTCTCAGCCAAAATTCATTCAGGAGGAAAAGACAAATCTATTTAACAAACGTACTTATTTCCTCTACCTACCCCCAAATCCTTGGCCCAGCGACCCTGCTAACTTGCTACACTACATATACATCATTCTTGAGATCTAAACCTCTAAATTATTGCAGAGAAAGGCCTGGGCCTTCCAACCCCCTACTTCTACAGTCACTGATCAGTCTGCTCCAGCCACACTAGCCTCTTACTGCCACGTAAATATATCAAGTATTTACAGAGCTTAAAATGTCACTCCCTTTCTTTGTAGAGGCCGCCTGGCCATCTCATCTATCCCCCAAATCTCTTGTCATGTTTTATTCCTGTATACTTAAAACCATCTGATATACTTTAATTATTGACTTGTCTGTCTCTCTCATGCTAGAATGTAAGCTCCATAGAGGCAAGGAGTCCTGTCTTTTTGTTCTCTGTGCAATTCCTAGTATCTAAAACAATGTCTGGCACAAAGTAACTGAATAAATACTAATGAGTACACATATAAACTCTCTAAACTTTTCCCCATATAAACCCGCTAAAATTTTATAACAAAACTACTAGATGGTACTCCATGGAAACCAACAAGGATGTCAGGGGCTCAAATGTCAGAAGATTTGCCTAAATTATTAGAAAAATCTGGATACTGACCTTCTGCAAATTTATTTTCCAGCTCAGTGTTTCCAATGGCTTTTGCTGCCTGACACATTTGTCGAAGCAATTCTTCCAGGCGCCTCATACAACGAATTATGCTGCCTAGACAGAAAAGGAACAAATTATTTGTACAATGGGTTATCAAGAATAGTATAATGTTAAGAGGCCAGGCAAAAGAATATAGAACAAGCAACAGTACTCTGAGATAAACTTAACTGGCTTCTCTGTTAGGTATTATGAAGACAAGTTTAATTCCCACACCTTTGACTAAGGGTAATAAGAGACATAAGAGACAGTTTTATTATATGTTGACACTTGCTATTTAGTGCAGATAAACTAAATGCTCTGTGAGATGAAAGCACAATTTGGGGGAAGGTTGGCAAACATGTCATCTATAAGAATGCATGCAGTCAGGCAGTGAACAAGGGGAAACCTCTGAAAGTACAGAAAAGCCTGATAGTCCAGCTTCTTCAAGGACCTTGGGTTTGGCCTCCTCAGGTATCTAAATACCATGTGCATTATCCTCTGGAGGGAACACAACAGGATTTGCTATGTCTTGTGAAAGCTTTTCATTCTTGTGGAACTAAAATAATTTCCTCTTTGTACCCAAGGAAACACAAAGAGAGGAGACTAGCCTTTTCCTATGAATCTTGACCATCTGAGACAAGTGTATTAAAGCTGAAACTGTAAACAGTTCCACTTGTACAAGGAGGGACCTGGGTTCTCTGCCTGAATTAAACACTCTTGGGACTTAAAGAAGTGCCTTCGAACACTTATCCCAGTGGGATGATAACAGGAGCCTCAAAATACTGCACAAGGGTATATTAAGGACAACATGCCTAGTTTCTAAACACATCCTGAACCTGGAACAATGAGCCCACAAAGATGGTTCTTTCAGGTAGTAGTTTATGGGATGAGACTGGTTAAAAAGAGGATCTCTACAGTATATAGGCCCCTGAAAAGACAATTAAAAGGACACACCAGCAAGGCGTCACATATTTTAGCCATGGTTTGCAGGAGTAAGTAAGCCAAGGAAGATATCAGGAGTTATAGAAAAACTGGGTGAGAAACCTGTGTTGTAATCCACACTGTTATAATCTAGGGTCAAAAGTGATACGTCATCTACATATATATGCACATCTTATAATAACAATGTTTTCTTATATTTTAGCAGAGTAACTGTTTAAGATGAAAGGTAAAATTGAATAAAGGTAAAATTGGTAAAATTAGAATATTTTAGAAAAGTTGGTGAAGCCTGATATTTACTGTACACTTGTTCTACATCAGCACTTCGTATCTGTGGATTTCCTCTTGTTTGATCCTCACAATTTCATGAGGCAAGTATTATTGTCATCCCTGTATTACAAACAGGGAAAAATACAGGAAAGTTACATATATAAATAGACTCTCATCAGAGATGGAATCCACACAGGAAGAGTCTAAGCAAGCATATAATCATATAGTAATTCACACAGGAAGACTGAGCTGGGTTTTCTAAAGTACTTTTATAAAATTTATAAACCACACACACACACACATGTATATATATATATATATACATGTGTGTGTGTGTGTGTGTGTATATATATATATATATATTTAAGAATGAAATATTATAAAGCCAGTCCTGGTGGCTTCTGAGAATCACCATTTGGAGCCAACCTGGGCAGACAAGTCTGACAGACTCAGCAAAGACAAGTGGAGGCATGGTTAAAGCAGACTGAAATGGGAAGTGTGGGTACTGACTACTCTTTTTCAAGAGCCTAGCCGTAAAAGGGATGAGGGAGTGGGGATGAGAAAAATAACTTCCACCCCCAAATGGGAAGTAACAGCCAATGTTTATTAAATGGGATGTGCCAAGCATTGCACACACGCATCAGTACCAGGTACAATTAAACAAAACTTGCCCAGGATCTTTCATCTATCAAGTGGGTAGGATTTCAGCTCTTAAACACTGGATGTTGGTAGTTGAAGGTATAGGCAAGAAATTTAAACATTTATATGCTAACAGCAGAAAAGATATGATTTAAGTGTATCAAGGAGGAGGAGGAAGGCCCTGGGATTCAGAGCAACAGGTAGGTAAGACTTTTCTCCAGGGTACAGGACATATATGGGTAAGAATACATACCTACTGGCATTAACTTTCTTCTAAAGAGGGAGCAGCCAAGAAGCTGAACCAAAGGTGGAAAAATATTTGTGAGCAGGGAAGATCTAGAATTGCTATTAAGGAAAGTGGAAGAGGAAGCCCAAAGAGAATTCTGCCTAGAGGAAGTTTTTGGAGGACCATACAGCTCAATTTTTTCTCTAAGTCAAAGATTGATCTGGGTTGATGATACCTAAGGCAGAAGAAGAAACCCCATTACTTCCTACTCTTAACTTTTGAGGCTACTGAATAGGATCTACCTGAGAGGCTCAGAGAATTTTCTCCAAGCAGAATGGCTGTATCCTCTCCACAGCAGGCCTTGAAAAAGTGAAGTACCTATGTGATATCCACCAACTTACATTGCTACTCAGAACTCATTCTGACCCTTAAATTATTTCAAGATTTGGAAAAACAACAACAGATGAAAAATAGAAGAGGTTTGCTGTTTCATTTACATTACCTTTAAATATTGATTTCACAACCAACATTTTCCAGAAATGAGCCACATTCCTAGCCCTAGAACTATATTTTAGAACTTGAAGCACACAGACTTTGCTTTTTAATAACACAAAGAAGCCAGGCACTGGTGACTCACATCTCTAATCCCAGTTACTCAGGAGGATCACGATTTGATGCCAGACCAGTCAGAAAGTCCATGAAACTCTTTTATCTCCAATGAACTAGAAGTGGAGCTGTGGCTCAAGTGGTAGAGTGTTAGTTTTGAGCATAAAACTCAGGGACAGCACCAGGCCTGAGTTCAAGCAGGACTGGCACAAAAAACAAAATTACTCTGGTAGTAATAATACCACAAAGAGTTTTACATATATAGGCAGTTGTAGAGTTTTACCTATATATGCAGAAGTTTCCATTTTATTACCAACTTTTTAAGAAGCAATAATAACCTTAGTAATATTCTAAGTACATTTCTCATTTTCCTTCTTTTTTGTACGGATGGTAAGGAGGAGGGATTCTAAGACTCTATATATGGTAGGCAAGCACTCTACCAATATTAGCGATAACCCTATCCCTAAGTACATTTCTTGTACCTGGAAAAATATATGAATGAAAAATTTAACCATACCTTCAAAGACATCTGTCATTTTGCAGATATGGGCAAATGTAGCTCCAGTTGCCCAGGTATATACCACATCCATCAAGTGAGGTTTGAATGAGTTTAGATAACTTTCCTCATCAATTTCCAATTTTGCTTCTGCTGAAACTTTTGCAATTCTTTTAGCACATTCCTTTTAAAGATAAAAGACATAGTTAAAATTCC